AGTCAATAGTTGTCCCTATCTTTAGAAAGGGTTCACGTTGTTCCTGTAACAACTATCGGGGGATAAGTCTACTTCCGGTTGCGTCCAAGCTATTGGCTTCCGTCACACTTCGTACGTTGTTCAAAACCAGAGAAAGATTGACTCGAGAGAAGGCTGGTTTTCGCTCCGGTCAAGGATGTATTGATCATATCTTCACTCTCCGCCAAATGTTAGAACACCGTCATACTTATCAAAGGCCAACAATCGTAGTGTTTCTTGACATCAGGGCTGCCTTCAATTCGTTGGATAGGACTGTTCTCTGGGATTGTCTATTGAAGATGTGTGTGCCTGAGAAGTTTATTAACATCTTAAGAGCCTTATATACAAACAGCTCAGGTAGAGTGAGGGCATACAACCACCTTTCTCCATTGTTCCATTCGAGCAGTGGGGTTAGGCAGGGTTGCTCAATCTCACCATTCCAGCTCTGATAGATGTCAGCAATGGTGGTGTGAATCTGTTGCCTGGAGAAAGACTTCTCGACCTTGAGTATGCGGACGATATTGTCTTACTGTGCGATAATGCCCAAGGCATGCAATCCGCGCTTAATCAGTTGGCAATCAATGTCCGTAGGTATGGTATGTGCTTTGCACCTTCGAAGTGCAAAGTACTTCTACAAGACTGGCAGGATTCCAATCCTGTACTCACCCTGGATGGTGAGCAGACAGACGTAGTCGAGAAGTTCGTGTATCTAGGTAGCTGCATAAGAGCCGGGACATGTACGAATGACGTCCCAGAGAATTCCACGTCGTGCATTATCTGCCGACGCTGGGATTGGTTGGAAAAAGTGGAAAGGTGGTCAGTGTGTGACATGGTGTCGTGGCATGGAAGAAAGCTGTAAAGGACTGGCTTGTGTTGATCCTTCACGACTCCCTGGCTGGGGTCCGAGAGATGGTGTTACACAGTGGCTAGAGACGTTATCAGATATGGCTCAGAATAGAAGCCAGTGGCGATCCTGCTGTAACCTTCTTTTATTTTCTTCCTAAAAAGTGGTTGTATCTTCCTTAACTGAAAGAATTCTTCTGGTTTTGCCTTTCCGTTTCTCCCATTATTATTATTTTTACACTACCTTACACTAATCTGTTCGTTATTGTTCTCTTTTTCTTTTTAACGCCCGTTACCTTTTTTTCCTTCTTTTCAAATTCTCATTGTTTTGTGTGGCGCATATATAGTTGGTGCCCTCTTGTACCAATATTTATGTGTTCACATAAAATAAATATAAATAGTGAATTACCAATAACAACAACAACAAGAAAATATCTGTTATTCTGAAATAAAATCACGCAATATTACACACTGAAATATGATTTTCTCTCTCTCTCAAAACTTGCCACCTATTAAGACAAAACTTAATCTTATGTTGAAATAAGTAAAATGTTCCAAAACAAAGTAGCTATTCACCAACAGAGAAAAAAAAATATTCATCACACCATGTTCTAATTCATTCATTACAAATAATTTAGATACTAAGTAACACTTAATATTAATTGACCTTTGATATACATCATATTATATGTAACGAACCATATTTATCATTTTCATAGATTAAATTCTGTAAGAATGTAACTGTTATATTTGCAGATTAATAGATCACCCAAATCTGAGAATGGAACGGAGACTCAAAGACACAATGATCAAATTAATTAACTATTCTGATGTGTTCTAGCCTCGCTAACTAACGAGAGAAGTTAAGTTTAACAGGAGGGAAATGTACTTCACAAACAGTTAGAAGTACAAACGACAACAGGCACAACTTTAAGCATACAAATGTCTTTGGAAAACGTCATATTTAAGGTCCTGACAAGTGGGAATAATGATATGCAGGTAAAAATGAAAACTTTTGGCGGGAAAGCAAGAAATTCAAATTTACAAAAATAAACGTTTATCAAGTGAGTTCTGGGTATCTAGCATTCCCAACAATGGCACATAACTTTAACAGATAATAATTTACAAAAGATTTAAATCTATACATGAATTTTATTTATCAAATACATCAATTAAAACTAATGAAGAAATGAAACAATCGACTGGAGTGAATTGTAACAAAAATCATGGTAACTGATTTTGGTGAAAAGAATGGACCGAATAAAATGTAAAACAATAATGAGACATGAATTGAGTGATGTACAAACTTATGATTTTTTATGATACATATAACTAACAACAAATCTCTATAACTTATCATTTGAGATATTTCTAGGATGACTCTTTCTAATGTCAGAGAAAAACAAAGGTCCACAAGAAACAAAAAGCTGAATATATGCCCCCAAGTGCCGTGGTATGGCTGAAGGTGGGGAGAGTCCTCTCTCCCTCTCCAAATGATCTCAAATGACCACGCGTATACAGCCACTACCACGGAAGTCCTACTCACTGCCTTCTCGCACCACGGGTGTTGTTTACGAAAATGATAGGGCGGAAAACGAATATCCAACAGAGGCTTTAACCGGGTCGGAGAATACGGAGAGTCCACCTAGAAGAGTTGGAAAACCCTCATTCCAAACCGATGGTGCACATGGGCTCCAGTACCCTGAGAGAACAAATGGTGTATGAAACAGTCGTTGGTCACCGGCTACCATCGAACTGCATCTGCATACGATGCTCCACTGCCTTGTGGATCAGATCTATAAGTTGAAGGCTCCGGTGTGTTCCGCTAAAAAAAACCACCTGTTTCGGTTCGGGCACCCAGGCAGTATCATAGCCCTCACACTGACCAAATGTTATTTGTGTGGCACATATGTATCTGGTGCCCACTTTACCAATATTTATTTGTTCAAACAATATATATATATAATATATATAATATTAATATATATATATATATATATATATATATATATATATATGGCAAAAACATTTCTGGTTGTACTTTTACAGTATTAAGGATTCAAGCCTTAAATATCGGATAGGTTTAACGTAAGTAGTTAAGTTTTGATCACTATGGGATAATATGGCAAAAAAATAACAAGTCAAACCTGTTGAATGTTCAATAGAACCCCACTAATTCTAAACATTTCAGTAAGTTACTCACATTTTTCACAGGGCAGCAACCCCACTTTCCACTTTTTAGTTTGCAACATGTTTGTTCATCGCTACAGCGAGATTTTGCATCTGGACACAATTGTGTGCCATTCAATGTTGATAAGCTCATATAAATCAAATTAAAATTTGCGACAGAATATGAACTATTTTTATTATTGTACATCTGTTCAAGGGACTTATTCAAATCTTTGTTATAAACACCAGGAAAGGAGACAGTCTACATAATATGAAGAAAAGAATATCACGATAACCTAACTAAATTAAGGTATAAGAGATAGATGAAAGAAACAGTGAACAAGAAATACAGAAATAAAATTGTTTAGTAAATAGTTCCTAATATTAACGTTATATTTTGATTGAGAACTATTTTACATTCGATCAAAACTGGTAATCAGTTTTTAACGTCGTTCACTAAATTACATTCGTACTAAAAAGTGATATTCTACACAACAACATATCAAATTATGTTGATTATGAATAAGATTAAATAAGATATTAAGGTCTTGAAAACGCAAAATATCTATCGTCCAAATTCAAACAGACAATGACAAAGTATGGTAAATAGTAGTGTTAGGAGTAACACAATGCTAGTAGTTAATCGAGAACAGGTGATTGGATGATATGTCTTAATCGTATTTCGTATAACACAATGTTAACCACCCTTCCCCGTACAACTGAAAATTGTCAACTACCATATTTGGTTCAACAATATGTTTAATGAAGTTATCCACTCTTAAGAGTGGGAGTTTTACTACTGTGTTTAAAATATCCACAATGTGACACAAACAAGTGTATATTAGATGGTTATTTTCATATTATTTACGTCCCGTTTTGTGAATTTCTTGTTGGGGCGATGCAGTCGTGAGTGCTGTTAGAGGTATGAGGGTGGTTTTCACTTCCCGGTTGCCCATACCGTGGGAGGGTCTTTCTAGAGGTAACTGAAAAGGAAATTTGGTTAGAGTTGGTTTGGTCAACTGAGAGCGTGAACACAATGCCCAAGGGACAACTACTTGAGGCCGGTCACACACGAACTTTCTGTGAGTAATCTTTGTGTTAGCTCCTGACCTTTTGGGACCTTACCACTGGTGACCGATATCCTTGGGATATGGTGAGGTGTATACGTTTACGATCGACCTTTTCTAACCTCACCCTCCCTTGTAGTCAGGCGGCATCGTTGTTATGCTGGTTTTCTGGCATAGCACCTTACTGCCGTCACACCTCTGTACAGTCACCAGTACCATTTCGCCCTCTGGTCTTGAGTTTGCTGCTTTTAGTTTTACCACTCTTCAGCCGACCTGTCTAGCATGATAGGACCTTGAATAACAATTGTTCCATCCAGTAAAGCTCGATCGCTTCATCACGACAGGCAAGCCCGACCACCACGTCAAGGTGGAAGCAACGGACGCAGTCACTTGAACTAATGTATTTTTTGTGTTAGATATTGCACTATATATATATATATATATATATATATAATATGAAACAAAAATCATTAGTTTACTACTGGATAGCCAACATCATCCAATCTAACCCAATAGAATTGATTAAAAATGTTACTAATGACGTATGGAATTATGTCACTAGGCTAATTTACTCAACACTCTAATGAATTATATTTGCTATATAAATTCCAGCTTTATAAATATATAAGTTCCAAATCTGAATTTCTAATTCTACGTAAAAATTATTAAATATTAAGTAACCTGAAAAAAAAACCTTTACATTTTAATTAGCAATATGATGATGAGCGATCTTAATCAAGCGAGGGATGTTACTATGAAATGTAGGATAATTCTTTTATAATATAAATAACAATATAACCCAGATTAAAAATGAACACAACAAATCAGGAGCTTTATATTGATTTGTGGACATTTTAACATAATTCTGAATTATAAATTCATACATAATATCAAAAAACTTACTTGAGGAATAGGGCAACATGCCCACGTTTCATCTGGACTAGGACAACAAGTTGTATCAGCTGGGCATTCATATAATGGATCTGGACATACGACACCAGAATAAGCTAGTAAATACTTGGCTGACAGTTTATGAATCTTTTTTCTCCAGTCTGCTTTAGATGGGTTGACATTTGGGTTGATACGTGCAGGAGCTGATGCTGATACAAGGTGTAAGGTGTGGGAAGATTCTTTTATCTCTGGGATTTCATTGGACTTAGTTGGTTTACATGAGTGATGCACCATATCGCAGACTGAACCATGAGGGCAACAATGTTCTCCATCTGGACAGCAAATAGCCTATGAATAAAACAAAAAACTCATCACAGAGTTCGGGTGACTTATTTAGAGACATAAACAGTGGGACTCATTTACCAAGTACAGTCCTATGTACTTAACTGGGGTATTTTTTTATTTGAAGGCTATTAGTGGTATGAATAGGATGAAGTTTGAACGAAAAACCCGTTGGCTGAGAGTATAGTGCTTGAACAACGAAGCTAACTAGATATTATGGTATTACACTCTTATATAATCACTTCAGAATTAGACTATCTGACTTACTTGAATCAACAATGAGATGAAAACGTTCCCAAGTAGATTGATTAATTCTGGAGAATAGCCACATTGAACCAGGATTTCAGAGGACATTTAAATTTCCATTGTACCTATCATTTAGCTACGCAGAACCACATTGATATTACAACTAAAATTACTGTTATGATGGACGGTGTCCGATGTTATGCTGATACACAACGTGCTATGCGCTAACCCCCCAAATTGACTACTTGAGAGAGAAGATAATAGGTAGAAGAGAAAGTCTATTGGGTTACCGAACAAAATGCATAAATACTCATTTACATACGTATATACCGTTCTACACCTTAGAAAATGAATCCATTTCTTAACCAATGATATGTAGTTGCCCTTTAAGCCATTTCTGGCTGTCCTCAAGTGACTTTTTCATTTAAATACTTCTGACTGACTCACTATATCACCTTCCTATCATGAAAAGTAAGTCCTACTTGGATTTAACTGAAGTTGAGGGAAACTCATTCTTGGGGTCTGACCATCACTTCTGTATTGTTCTTTTTGTTTTAGACTTTTCTGATTAAGTAATCTAGTGGCAATTTCGAGTTACGGGGTTCTTTACCCGAATTCAATCGTCTACCGAGGATGCAGTTTACATGTCGCGTCAGACATTTCCCTCGAGCATCAATTTTAAACATCACACCACCAACTCTTTTTACGTTTACACCTGCAACCCACGGAGGCTCCCATAGCCGGAAGCTTCTTACATAAACTGGCGTTCAATTCTCCTCGCCTTGGGTTTGTAATCTCGTTTTCTTTTCTGGGAATATATATCATAAAATAAAATCCATGTCTTTCTTCGGAAAATTGATTCACATACTGTGTTTGCATTTAATTGAATATAATTTAAAGGAAACTAGATGATAACTGCTTGAATTACCTGTGGATACGACTAAAATTAGGATTTACCCATGATACTGTTGTTCGAAAACCATGTTTATCTGCTGATCCTATTTCATTTATACACTTAATAACTAGTGAAATATGACCCCTTGATATACAACTTTAATAAAAATTTGCAATGAAGATAGTAAACTTACTAAAACACAATACAAAAACGTCTAGTATTTTCATGTAAAGAGGGTAGAAATGTCGACAAGCTTCATATCAAGTATATTGAAACCTATAGTCATATAGGTAGACATAACTGGTTGATGATGTAGTAAACTGAGATGATTAGGACGTGTGTTACGTATGCTCAAACACCGCCTATCATGACAGGTGATGTCAGGTGTAAGAGTAGACTGAAAGTTAAGGATGACTATACCAAGACGTGGCATCAGTCTATGAAGTTATAAGCAATCGAATCTTTCTTGATAATTCCACCTCGCTGTGTGTGGTGTGGCAACTTGGACCGATGAGCAAGTGTCAGGCGTTCCACATAGTGTATAACTGACTGACTTGACTTAACCAGTCAAATCTAACTAAAATCACTAGATATAATAATTTACTCTATCGATAGTCATCAATTACATGATCAAATATAAAAGTTAGGCCCATCAACCGAGCAACGCGACTCAATCCAGTGGATCTTAACCATAATCAAAACATAGAAAATGGAATTGAAAACAACCGTAATGTAGGATTTTATTGTGATTATTTTACTGAGTGAAAAATTCAACGGTTTTCTTAACTGATATTAGTTCATAATGAAAATTATTTTCAGAAGGGGGTTTTGTGGAGATTTTAGTAATTTCAATTGTTGAGATCATGAGTTCACCATTGAAAACCTGGAAGCACTGGAAGGCCGTTTCGTCCCATTGTGAGACTCCTCAGCACTGAGCATCCACGATCCCGCCTCGCGGGATTCGAACCCAGGGCCACTTAACCACTAGACCACTGAGCCGGCATCCAACGGTGTTAATGTCTAACTTCAACTAATCCACGAAATTGAGCGACACATCCACCATTGTCATCAGTGAGTTACTATCTCACAACTGACCCGGTTGAACCCAACTGGTCACTGCTTTTCACTAGAACTCCAGGATATACATCTTGAAGCCAGTCACTAGTAAGCAGATGTTTTCAATAAAAGTGAATATGTTTGCTTTTGTTCCGTTCCTATATACTATATCTAGATTATAAGGGAAGTAATTAAATTATAACTTATTGCTTTCAGAGTCTTATACTAATAATGAGTTATAAATATGGAGTTTAAAAATTCATATGTGACTTTTTAATATTATCAATGAAAAAGTTTGTCCAATATTCTGTAGTATTCAAGACTCATCGACGTGAAATTCACCATTTCTGACTTATAACAAGGATTATTTCCAAACTCAATATT